TATATATATATATATATTCTTTAGACTGCTGACTAAATTTTTAATCCCAGAATCAGTATTTTGCAGTTCATTTGAATTTAGGAATCAACATTTTTTCCCAGTGCCTACTGACACATCTGACAATATTCCTCTTGATTTAAACATGGTAGTGAAAATAAAACCCCAACGGCTATTTTCTGGAACAAGCTTTGTTTCTGAAGCCTTTTTTGTTCAAAATTCGCATCTGAGATAGGGCTAACATACTGTGAGATGTGTTACCATATCTGTGCTCTTCTATGTCCCTGAAGACAGGGTGCTACTGATCTTCATAGTAAGTCCAGTGCTCCCCTAGGAGCCTGGGCTCCCTGTGCACATGAATACCGATCCCATGGCACATGCTTAGTATGCCAGGTTTTAAAAAGGACTCCTATTAGTTACATGTACACTACACAAATCACATCTACTAAAGACATGGGAGCTCTAGGCTGGGTCCATAGCTGTTTCACATGCAGAGGCATTGCTGGTCATTTGCCTCTCTGCTCCTGTATGAAGTTCTGTTGGCAAGCATTCTCACACCAATGTGTTAAAGGAATGAAACATTTAAAAATGCACAAATTAACCATCCTGATAGCAAATTAATTAATGCAAATAAATGCAAATTCAATGCATTACCCTGGCATGGCATGCTAATGAGAAAACAAGTCATTTAGTCAATCAAGGAAATATGCAAATAAAAAACATCCTCTTCTAAGGTGCTTTGATGCAGAAGTCTAAAAGAAATTAAGTACTTCAACTGTATTTTGAGGGCATAAATTACTATTTATGTAGTTTGCAATAAGAATGTTTTACCCTGTGTTTTTATCCTTACAAACTTGGCAACAGAAATACAACAAAATGCATTTTCTCTTTATAAATGCTGCAGAAATATATTTTTCACACTAATGTGAAGTTTGAAACTTACTGCAGAAAAAAACCCAAACAACTGAAATGTGCTCTCAGGATACTGTGTTGAGGGTAGTTTTGCAATTTTAACCTTATCTAATGCCAAATGGAACATCCAAGCAGTTTGTACTTCTCAAAAGATAACAAACAGCTCATCCTTCTAAAGACCTGGTGTTGCAAACATTTGTCTTTTTCAGTGGGTGCACCTGAGGACCAGTAGTATGGGTCAGGCATCAGGTGACAAGTTGCTACAGAAGATCCGCTGCCTCCATGGAATTCATTGCACAGGTGTTTTCGTGGATTATAAGCACATATTGTTAAACACACCACATACCAAGAAGGGTCAGAACCCAGTGAAAAGTACTGGTCGTCACCTGCAGCAAGAAACAGGATCAAGTGATGTAATGAAAGTTTCAGAATTAATTGCTGAAATACCAGGGCTGACTGAAGCAAGACACCAATGGTGTTAAATAACACTGTGCACAGCTGCTGTAAAGAAGAGATAACAACAACACTAGATACTAGTCCTTTCTGAAGAGTAAGTTTCAGGTTAGGGCCTAAAAGGTACCAAAAATTACTTGCTGCTTCTTTCAGCTTTTCACTGTTATCTGCTAAGCCCCTTCTCTGAACAGTTTAGGATACACTCTTTACTTTGTAAAACTTTCAAAAAGTAGCCATCTGAATATTTTACCATAGCTGTTAAATTGCACTCTACTGTTTTGCATCTAAAGAAGCAGAAGCAAGTACTTTCAAGTAGAGAAATGGACAAGCAGCTTGCTGGCAAATCATATGCCTTCCCATTAGTCTAATATGTTGTGGAACAGCAAAATTATACCACACTAAACAGTTAAACAGTGAAGTTCAATCAGTAGCTGTGACATGCTTAACCCAAATACTTTTCTCTGATTGTATTTTGAAATTAATGGAAATGGAATTACTACTTTTAAAAGAAAATAATATACTTCCTAGTAGACGAACAGTCACTCAGTGGGCTTTGTTACACGGACTATTACCTTCTCAAGATCTATGTTGCTGTCTCCACAATACCTGTAATTATGCCAAAATGCATGGCATTTCCTCTATAGTTGATCTGGCAAAAGTAGAGATTTTTAAGCACAGAAGTGAATCTGGTGATGTAAAAGGGAATATTCGCGTACTTGAAATTATGCATGTGTCTAAGTAACAGTAGAACAGAAGCCTAAATTTTCCTCTACTCCTGTGTCTCAAAGGACTTTGCATTCTTTGCAAGTTCAACTTTCTGATTTTTGTTACTACTTGGTATTTCCTAGACATTTAAACAAATGAGCATTGCTATCTATAGTGCTTTCCATTTAGTAGAAGGAATAGCATTCAGAATTTCCATTTGAATCATCTTATTTCATTCACCTGAAACAACACACAGAACTGAAGTTTCTGCAGCCGGACAGACATTTTGTCAGGTGAAACAATAAATATTCCATTCCTTGGTGGACAAATGGAGGAATGCTCAAAGACTGTGCTTATTAATGTTATTTCATTACTTGCCATCTATAATTATCCTGTATCTAGACCAGCACATTTCTTTCTCTTCCTTGATACCTTCTCCCCAGCACAACTAAAAGTAAGGATGGGGAGGGGCTCTTTTTAGATAGAATAACTTGAAGATCCAGCATTACAGATTTTCCAAGGTCAAAAGAGAAAGTTAATGGGAAAAATAGTCAAGCATTTTAAAGCTAGTGTAATTCTATAAAAAGGACTGTGAATTCATGGAGGGAAGGAGATGAACATGCTGTTCACCTGTAGCTCTGCAGTATAATTTTCATATCAAGTGTTAATGACAGGTAACCTCCCTAGAGATTTATTCATTCATTTTCTTCCAGGTACAGCATATTAGCTGAAGACTTTTCTGCACAGCCACCTTGCCATGATGTGAATTACAATTAACGCTAAGCAGCCAGGGGTTGTTTGTTAGATTATTAGAGCCAGTGAAGCTGAATGACTCGTTCTATGCTATTTACAGAAAGAAAGCAAGCAATTCATCACAGACAGATGTCAATGATAGGCTACCTGGATCCCTATAGAGGAACGTCGACTTTTAAGAAACTCCTCTGCTTTTGTCACTAAAATGGCCTTGTCACTGGTTCGTATCGAGGTGCTCTGGCTCTCGGATGCATGGCGCTGCGCGGCCGCAGTTTCCAAGGCAAGATTCATGGCCTTGTTACTGTCCAAACTGTCAGTGGAATTGTACATCCCTCGCCCATCCTGTGGCCATGGGGAAATCCTCTGAGTCCGGCTGTCGTGATATGCATCCTGGGTGGATTCTGTGCTGCTCTGTGCTGTGACTGAGATCAGTGGCTTGGAAGTGGTACGAGGGGGTACCGGTGGCGGTGTTTTTTTGTAACTTGTGTAAGTTACAGCTATGGAAAGAATTAAAAAAAAAAAAAAAAAAAAAAAAAAAAGACAGAGAAAAAAAAAGAAAAAGGAAAGTCAAGATTAATCTTATGAAAACTTCACAGTAGAAATCACCGTAACATTAAGATTGAGCTGCTTAAAAATGAAGACGGTGCAACATAGTGTTCTTTGTGAACCTCACTATTAGAGTCAGGTGGGCATCCACAGCAACATTTTATTTCAACCAGGGGGCAAGGTGTGGAGATGGGAGTCCCAGATTATGGTGAAGATGAAAGTGAGTTAGTGAGGACTTGTGTGTGCTGAGGCTTGTGCTGGGTAGGTACACACTGAGGCTTCTGAGGTTGTTTCTGCATGAGGTAAAGCTGATAAGAGAAATAAAGGAAGGTTTTTTTCCCCTCTCTTGTTATCATCTGAACTGTGGGCTCTGTATTGATACAGTGTATTAAGAAAGTAGCATCAATACACTGGAACAAAATACTATTCAGAAACTTCTACTTTACATTATGCCACACTTTAACCTTTAAAAATACTTCCAGGCATACTGGCAGGAATTAGGCAAGATTGGCTACTTAAATAAGAAGCATATGTTTTAAAAATATCCACAATACAGTTAACAAAAGGAAATTCCAGGCATGCAAAAAATGTATATACATATGTATATATTGTGTATATCAATATACACAAAGCTACTAGATACTAGGACAACAAACAAAAACTACAATACCAAAAGCAGTGACGTTTTATCTATTATCTTGCAGTAAGCCTTAAATCCTTAGAACATACATTGAAGGGCGATATACTTAAATGCAGAGAATATGGAAATATAGATATAAAAATGAGTCTGAAACACAGGGAGAACTGGATAAGCAGGTCTAAGACTTCAGTCTGATGAGCAGAGCAGGTCTGAGACTGGTTCTGTCTTGAAGCAAAAGGCTCAATAAAACATCCAAGAAAGCTCTATGGATGCAGAATTGTGCCAATAATACTTCCTTACAAAACTGTAGAGGTATCATAGAGGTAGATATTTAGCCACTAATATTACACAGCCGAATTTTCTAATTGTCTAGTTTAAAAGCCCACTATACTTTTTTTTGTAACTAGCAAGAGCATTTCTGTTATGGAAGAGCTTTTCCCCCAAAGCACATATAATTATAATTCATAAAATTAGCAACTGATACAAAAATGCATCATGATACAGCTTTCCATATTCCTGTACAGGAAAATCAAGTCAAATTCATTTCTTGTATAATTACAGGAGGATAAATAAAATTATTATGTTTCCTCATATCAATAATGCCGAAATAGCATAATGTATACATGCAGAGACCAGGATAATGAATGACTTAAGGAAAAGGTTTGCCTTTTTCTGGTGTTGTTATATGCATTGGACATTGCAACAGTGACTCAGGGAACCTTGGAATCGGCGTTACTGGAGTCCAAAAAGGATTCTACAGGAGTTCCTCTTCCTGTTATACACATGTGGGCTGATGAGCAATGAAGTCAGAAGGAGTGCCTCTCCTGTCATGATTTTTGCAGCTATGTCAGGCTATGTAGCAGCTCTCTGGAGAGAAGAGACCAGTTTAGGAATTTGCTAATACCTGGGACTGCTGAGGCTGTATAGCCAGGCCAGCCTATGGGAAAAGTGAGACTAGAGAAGACTACTCTTAAATTTTTATTATTGACAATCATAAATAAAAGGATGTTCATAAATAAAAGAGAGCTAGGAAGTGAAAACCTTCATTTGAAGCATGTTTTGAATTACTACTGGTGCCGCTCAGTTCTGGTAGACATTTAGAGAGACTTGCTCCAAGCTAAATTGCTCTAACAGAGTGAAACGTGAAAACATGCTCTTCAGATTCGGAGAATGTGTGGTTTATTTGAAGTGCCATTTTGTTGTCCTATCACTAGCCTTATCTCCTGTCAGTTTTGTAACCAGCAGTTAAGAAAAAAGAAAACCCCAGTATTTTCCAGATGCTTTAGGGAATAGAGAAAGTTCATGAAAGAAGGGAGGAGCTGTAAAACTTGAAAATTAAGACAGTGTCTTAGGAGCTCAAGCAGTGGCTCTAAGGAATGTTTCTACTAAGAGAGTTGCCATAATACTGCTCCTCCACCTTCCCTCTGCAAATGCAGATGCAGATCAAAGTGCTAGGAAACATTAGAAAAAGAGACAATGGGGTGAAATAGGGTGAGTGAAATCTGGATCAGGAAGCTATTTTAACCTATAACATAAGACAGGTTATCACTGTTATAACTAATTTACTGGTTTTTACCGTCTGTCTTTGTAGAAAAGAAAGGCAGTGAATAGTGAAACATATGGTAAATGTGATAATGAAACATCACAAGCAAGTATATTCCTACTGCTTGGGCAGCAGATCACTTCTCTGTCTAATGAACATAAAAGTTAAACTTCTGTTGCAACCCTTCATAGCTAACTCAATGTTCATTTACATTTCTAAAAAAGAAAAATTCTCCTTGTAGCAAAACCAAAACAGTCACTTGCTTTTTTTTTTTTTTTTCCCCTCTTTTTTTTTCCCCTAGGATTGAATATTTTATTCTGGACATTTCTGACTGTTTCAGTGGAGTGACACGTCTTAAAACCACCAAATATTACAGTTACTGCAGTATTCTGGCAATCACTTGATCATGAGCACTAAACAGGAATTAAAAAACCCACAGATGTTCAACAAGAAGAAGAAATCAGGAGAAAGACTGAAAATTTGTGAGAAACTGTCTACATATTTACAGTGAAGTATGGCAGGAAGAAATCAGATTAATTTCTAAGATACAGTCACAGAGATCAAATATTGAGCAAGGAATAAAAAAAATCCCCCTCTACACAGTTAATTAGTTCATATCTGGAAAGACAGTTTCAGAGCCACAGAAATCTGGGACTAATTTGAGACTGTAACAAAATCAGGTAAGAGGATGGAGGCGTGAATTTGTGAGGCAAATCTTGCCACCAAATTCTATTTGCTTTAATCACTCAAGTGGTTCTAGTGAAGTAAATGGCATAACTTAGATAAACAATGTGACCAACACTTGTCTTAGATAAACTTGGTATGTGTTGCTGATTTAAGAGATTATGACATAATAGATTAGGAGCTTGTTAAAGGAGCAAAGTAACCCTGTAATCCATAGTTTACTGTTCATGCTTGGTCTTAGGTCTCTAATAAATATGAAATTTTATTTCACTTTCAAATTTTTTTTCCATTAATTATTATGTCTGTGAGTGTTCCTGTTATCAGCAGTAATGTCTTTTTTTGTCATGTCCAATTCTTGGCCATAACAGTCGTACATACCATGTATTATATATGGGAAGAAACATTTCCTTTTCCTAACATAAACTGAACTTCCTTTTCGCTTATCACTCCCTGCTTATGCTGATGGACACAAGCTCCTGTCAGCTTTGCCTCATTCGCTACTTTGCAAATTTTATTTGCCTTAGTGGTTATTAGTTCAAAGTAAGCACATAAAACTCCTCAGTGATGCTTCATGTCTTCCCTATTGTTTGGTCCATCATTCTACAAACTCCACAGCTGTGATGGGTTTCACCATCCCCACAGAGAGGGCTGGTGCTGGGCAACACAGCCCCAGGGCACCAAGTGCTAGCCAAGGACAGTGCCCGAGTAATTCCATCCAAGGCACCGGTGCTGAAAGCTGAACTGGGAAAAAGAAGACTGGGATGACAGATCCTTGTCTTCAGTCACAGCAGGACAAGCTGGGTGTCAGAGCCAGCATAATGGCTGGGGATGAAACACAGCGTGAGGACAGGGGCGTGCAAAAGCAGAGCACCAGGAGGGAAGAGCTGTTGCAGTGCAACTTCAGACTGGTTTAAATTGCGGGCTTCAGCAGAAGCAGAAACATGCTTCATGTTTTCACGTGTAAAACATCAATCCTGGTTAATCTTATGTTGTTTCTGTGGCTCACAGAAGATAAGCAAAGATTTCTGATTTCTTTAGTTTTCTGAGGAGTTTTGATGTGTGTATTCTGGACACTCTTGATATTTCTCTCACCAATCCTGCTGATGGGCAATAAGGCTGTTAATCAATTTGTAAAATCTATAGCTGCTCTGAAATGCAAAGAAAAAGAAAGTAGATGGCACAAGAGGCAAATATATCTTTTTAATGTTTAAAGAAAACACAGAAGGAATTATGATAAATAAACTAAAATTTTTCTTCCAGTTGTATTCAAAGGCTGTCTTTATATAGAAAGCTGAACATTTTTTTTTCTTTTTTAATGAAGTAGGCAATATATATTTTTTGGAGCTCATAAGATACAGCCTATCTCCATCTGTTAGCTTAAACAACCAGAAATGATAAAAATGGTAAAAACCTGTTCCAATTCTAAACTTTCAGACTTCCATTTCAATCAAAGTATTAACTGTTCAGGTACTTGCCCCACTTCAACATAAACATGTGCAATAAGCTCCACTGGATTTTCCTTTAAGTAAGGATATTAGAGAAATGGAGAGAAAACAAAATGGTTCTGTGATGCTTCACAGTGGTCTAGGCTAAACAATGATGAAAACCAGGCATAAATTGTTTAGGAGAAAGGAGCAGGTAGCAACGCAGCATAACATACATTAATTTGTCACTCAGGCAGGAAAAAGTGTTACACATCAATTGTTTTTATAAGGGTCGTTGCCTTTATGTAAAGACTGCAGTGCTTGTTTATGCCAGCTCATTACCTTCTCCTGGCACAACTCACATTTGATACCTTAACTGCCAGATGACCCTCACATGTACAAGATTGCCTAACAGTGCTGAATTTAGTATGGAGATGGCTACAAGGGACCTGGTCTGTAAACTGCATTAATTTTTCTGATGTGCTTTGTGATCTCAGCCGGGAAGGACCTGTCAGAACCAGAGCATCACGAATTATGGCAATACCGCAGAGTAACCAAGAAGACAATCCCAGCACTGGAGAACTGACAACAGAAATCCAAGAAAAGTTTCCTGATAATTCATAAATAATAGGATTTTTTTTATTTAATTAATAACACCTG